CGGGACTCGAACCGCGGTCAACTACATGGGAGTCCAGCAACATAACCATTATGCTAACTGCTTGTCCAAATGCTACCTAATTCTTCACTGAAATGACTTTTTTGATAATTTTTTAGTTTGCTAAATAAGCTAATTTTACTTATCTATCAACGTATGATCTCAGCCTAACAAAGATGTTTTCAAAGACTTGAACCTAAATATTAACCTCTTTAGGTATAATCAGAATTATATTTGCTTCAGAATAATAAAATCATCAATCCTGGGGCCAGCACATGGCATGATGGTTAAGGCACTGGACTCCCACATGGCTGACACAGTTCGAGTCCTAGACCTGGTGGCTTGAAAATCATGCCAGGTGTTTGTATGCATGCTCAAAATCCCAGAAGAAAAAGGAATTGTGGCATGACCACCCCCTATGGGGAGTGATTTCTCACTTTCCCTCTCTCTCTAGTGGGCACACATGTGCTATGGTGAACACTTAAAAAAAAAATCGGTCTTCACATCATATAAGGGAAAATTTGTACTTTTATTTTCCTCCAGGGCATTATCAACTGATTTCTGACTATACTGGTTTCCCATAGTCAATAGAAACTTTAAATTGGGGACCAACAGTTAGCGTGATGACTATGTTGTTGGATTCCCATGTAGTCAACCACGGTTTGAGTCCTGGACCCGGTGGCTTAAACTCATGCCAGGCACGTGTGCATACGTGCCCAAGATCCCGAGAGGAGAATGGAAGAGAAGGGATTGCGACGTGGCCATCCCCCTGGGGGGGGGATTTCTTGCTTTCTGTATGTCTCTGTCTTTCTGGCAAGCACACGTGCCCTATAGCAAAAACCTCTCCAAAAAAAGAAAAGAAAAAAAAACTTTAAATTTTTGTAATCAGCAAAGACATAATCATATAAATAAATTTTACTGCTGTATGTATAAAACATGTTTACTGTATCATTTTTAAAAAGTTCTTTGTAAGCAGACCACCTAGTGACTAATTTATGAGAGCCACGTTGAGATTGTCAATCATAATCATTATGAAGATTAATTTTATAGTCATTTGTTTTATTGCATCATACACTTATGATGTCTTCAGTACAGTATTAACTACTTGTGCTTTGTACTTAAGTAGTTTGGGAAGCTCTATTTATTTTCTCTTTCCTTCATTTTTAGGGTTACTGGTATATGCTTTTAGAAGAATTATGTCAGTATTACCGAACTTTCGTCCCCGTACCAGTTTGGTTCCGTTATCTGATAAGCTATGGGGAGTTTGGTAACGTAACTAAATGGAGTCTTGGGATATTGCTGGCTTTACTATACCTCATACTAAAAGTAGGTAAAATTATAAATTTTGTCATTGCATAATGATTGATATGATGATCACTAATTTTATATATTACTACTATTCTCTTTAACTGTTTTAGAGTTTATCTTCATATCACTTTTGAAGCAGTAGCATATTCTATATCTGTTTAGAAATGGAAGAATGGAAATATATCTTAATACAATGGTTCTCAGTTTTACTAGAGGGAGAGAGAATGGAGTTTCAAAGAACATTGAACTAGAACATACCCATCCTCAATAGTAACATTTGCTGTACATGTAATTCTTAAACTATTGAAATACCTTATCTTATTCCTTGTATGCCTACTCCCCTCAATTTAATAATAACGTAATTACATTTTCAAATCTAAATGTTAAGAACATGTGAACCAAGGGGCCAGCAGGTGGCATGGTGGTTAAGGGCATTGGACTCCCACATAGCCAACAGCAGTTTGAGTCCTAGACCTGGTGGCTTGCTTTCTCACTTTCTCTTTCTCTGGTCAAATTAAAAATAAATAAATAAATGCAAAAATAAAGTTAAGTAAAATAATTCTTTTTTTTTTTTTTTTTGACTATAGGATGCATGTGCTCACCAGAAAGACAGAGATAGAGAGAAAGTGAGAAATCACACCCCAAGGGGGAATGGCCATGCCACAATCCCTTCTCCTCCATTCTCTTCTCAGGATCTTGGGCACGCACGCACACGCGCCTAGCGTGTGTTTAAGCCTCTGGGTCCGGGACTCGAACAGAGGTTGACTACATGGGAGTCCAGCGACACAGCCATTACATCAACTGCTGGTCCCTAAATAAAATAATTCTTTAATAAAAAGGATATGTGAACCTAAAAGTAATTGTTTTGCCGTTGATATAGTTTATTTGATCAAATCATAACTAGAAATTTAGATGTACTTCAGTTTAATAAAGATTTCATTCATATCTATAATTTGAGTAGAATATTCAGCCATATTTCCTGAAAGCATACTGGACATGCAGAAGACTGCCTAAGATCTGACAGGTTAGAGGACTGAAAGAAAAGGATTATAGCATGACCAAACCCTGTGGCAGGTGCTAACTCTTACATGCATGCACACACACTCTTTAATGAATAAAGAAAAGAATAATTTAAAAATATGTATAGACTATTAGTTGTGACATGCACTGAGTATTAGGTTAATTTGAGAACATGATGTTGTGAAATTTCAGCTTTGATCTTAGGGTTTAACAGGTGAATACTGAATTATCTCTTTATTTTTCTTTCAGCTTTTGGATTTTTTTGGACATCTGAGACGTTTCAGACAGGTTTTGCAAATATTTTTCATGCGACCAGTAAGTACTTTTTTTATCAGGGAGAACACTTTTACCTTTTTTCATTATAAAAATTTGGCGGCCACCAGGTGGTGTGATAATTAAGGTGCTGAATCCCATATGGACAGCTCTGCAGTGTGAGTCTTGAACCTGGTTTCTTGAAAAATATGCCAGGTGTGTGTGCATGGGTGTCCAGAATCCCAAGAGGAGGATAGAGAAAGGACTGCAGTGTGGCCATCCCCCTGGGGTGATTTCTCACTTTCCTTCTCTCTCCAGCAAGCACACACACACCTGAATAAAATTTAGATTAGTTGTACAAATATAGTTTTCATAATCGGATGATAATTTTCTTTTACTTTGAGATGATTTCCTAGTACTTTGACAGTAGGGGGTGTAGTGACTTAGGACTATTATTTCTATGATCTGTTTCCTCAATTGCATATTGACAACCACCTGCTAGTTGTTGTGGTGCTTATGTATTTTAATATGTCTCTTGCCCCTTCAAATCTCTTGATATTAAAAAAAAAAAATCTTGACATTATTTTTAAAGAATTATTTAATTATATTTATTATTATTATTTTAACATTTTTTGCTGAAGGGCACATGTGCTCACCAGAGAAAGGCACAGAGAATGAGAAATAAAGTGAGAAAACAAGCTGCCAGGCCTGCAACTCAAACTGTGGTCGAGCATGTGGGAGTCCAGTGCCCCAACCACCATGCCACCTGCTGGCCCCATCTCTTGATTTTTTTAAGGGTTTATTACCTTCTTTTTTATTTTTTTAAATTTTTTTTGGAGAGGTTTTTGCTATAGGGCAGGTGCGCTCGCCAGACAGAGAGACAGGGAGACAGAAAGCAAGAAATCATCCCTGGGGGCATGGCCATGCCACAGTCCCTTCTCCTCCATTCTCCTCTCGGGATCTTGGGCACGTACACACACGCGCCCAGCGTGAGTTTAAGTTCTGGGACTCAAACCACGGTCGACTACATGGGAGTCCAGCAACATAGCCATTATGCTAACTGCTGGTCCCTATAAACACCTTCTTAAAAATCTTTTTTTTTTAAAAGAATTATTTTATTTAACTTTATTTAATATTATTATCATTATTATTTTCCAGTTTGATCAGAGAGAGACAGAGAGAGAGGAAGTGAGAAAGCAAGCCACCAGGTCCGAGACTTGAACCGTGGTCAGCCATGTGGGAGTCCAGAGCCTTTAACCACCATGCCACTTGCCGGCCCCTGTACACCTTCTTAAACATCCTGTTACACTTTTGTTTCCCCTCTTAAAAAAAAATATTTAATTAATTTTTTAATTTGGCCAGAGAGACAAAAGGATGATGAGAAAGCAAGCTACCACTTCCAGGGCTTGAACCATGGCTGGCCATGTGGGAGTCCTGTACCTTAACCACCACACCACCTGGTGGCAGCTTCTCTTTTTGAATCCACAAATGGTAACTTCATGTATTTCCACTAACTCATTTGGCTTCTATGAATATGCTTCTACTGTAATTTATAGTGTATATGAAAAGAGCTCATTGCTCAAACTCAGGTCCCTTGCAGTTTTCTTACTGTAGGAAATTTCTCTATTACTTAAATTCAATGCACAAATAAGTTCACAACATGGAATAAACAATTGAGACTGATGTCAGTTATAAACATGATTATTATGTGATTCTATTAGTTACAGATTTCAGAAGAAATCTGTAATTAGAGACAGCTAATTTACTATTTAATAGCTTCAAATGTTCCCAGATTTCAGTGTTTGATCCTTAGGTCTGCAGTCCATTAAATAATTATTTAGTAGCACTCAATGGGACTGACTTACTAGACAGCCAACCTAATAATTTACTGTTAAAATAAAAACTATGTCTACAAAGTGGACCAGACTAAATAGCCAGAGTAATTTTTCTCCAAGATAGTGTTGTAGAAACAACCTTTCTATGTATTCAATGCAAAATTCATTTTTTAAGCTAAGATCCAATAAAATTCAAAGAATTTAGCTTTGTCCAAATTAATTCAATTGATGATTATGTCATGGGCCCTTGTACTGTAATTGATCTAGTAAAATCTGTGCTGAAATACCCTCAAGAAAATACCCTGGGACCAGCAGATGGTGTAATGTTTATGTCACTAGACTCCCACATAGTCAGCTGCGATTTGAGTCCCCAGACCTGGTGGCTTAAAACTCAAGGGCGCATGTGTGTGTGTGTGTGTGTGTGCCTAAGATCCCAGGAGAAGGGATTGTGGTGTGGCCATACACCCTGAGGGGTGATTTCTTGCTTGCTTTCTGTTTCTCTCTGTCCAGGGAGTGCATGTGCCCTATAGCAAAAATCTCTCTCAGAAACAAAAACAAAATCAACAACAAAAAACCCTGATATTCTTTCTCCATGAGACAAAGAATAAAGACAGTATCAGTCAGGCCAGCCCATGGGTTGATGATTAAGGCAGCTGGTTCTCAAATGACCAACTGTGCAGTTCAAGTGCCATGGCTTCAGGGATATGCAGGCACGTATGTTTGTGTGTGTGTGTGCGCGCGCGTGTGTGCCCAGAATCCCTGGAGGGTAGGGAGAAGGGGTAAACGAGTGAGAAATGGAGAAGGGATTGTGGCATGCTCATTCTCTATGGGAGGTGCTTGTTCACTCTTCCCCCTCCTGTCTCCAGCAAGCACAGGTACCCTCTGGCAAATAATAAAAACCAGTATCAGTCATTGACGCTCTGGTTTATTTCTAAGTCTCCCTGAAATATCCTGAACACGTACACACGTTCTTCAGTTCCACCAGGGAAATGTAATCACCATCAGGATAAGTCATCACCTGTAGGAAATCTCCAAAATGCTATACAAGAATGGTGGTTTTGTTTGTTTTGGAGAGGTTTCTGCTATAGGGCGTGTGTACTTGCCAGAAAGACAGAGACAGAGAGACATGAAGCGAGAGATCACCTCCCAGGGAGGATGGCCATGCCGCAATTCCTCTCCTCTCGAAATCGGGCATGCACACACATGCCTGGTGTGAGTTTAAGCCAGGGAGCTGCTGTGCATGGGTTAAGCACTGTGTAGAAGAAGCCAATCCCATGTAGCCAACCAGTTTCAGTCCTAGTCCTGGTAGCTTGAAAAATATACTGGGCCCATGGCTCATGTCCCCAGGATTCTGATGGGATAGAGAAATGGAAGAAAGAGGGGCTGGAAGGTGGCATGATGGTTAAGGACGCTGGACTCTCAACATGGCTGATCACGGTTCAAGTCCTGGACCTGTTGGTTTCCTTTTTTATTTTTTCTTTCTCTCTTTCTGGTCAAATTAGAAAATAATAGTAGTAAATAAAGTTAAAATAATTCTTTTTAAAAAATGGAGGAAAGAGAATGACAAGGTCCCATGGGAGGGCTTTTTCTCTGCCTGTCTTTTGTGCACATACATGTGCTCTCTGGCATTAAAAAATTTTTGAGACAGATTCCTGGGTTATACCCCAGTATTTCTGAATGAATTGATATTTAGTATGGAACTGAAATCTGTTAAAGCAAGCTCCTCAAATGAGTTACACTGACCAAGCTAAGCTCTGAATTGATGTTATGAACCACTGCCATTGGTAATGATTCAATTAAAGAGCCCTGGGTTGTATAATAGATGGATATAGAGTTTATAATATTTAGTTTTATTTCAAATTGCATAGTCTCATAAGCAGTTGTGTTGAATTTGAAGCACTGTCATCATTTGGGAATGGAGTGAATCTAACAGTTTTCGAAGATCATATTATGTATTATTTAGCAATTTCACCTTGGTGCAGTCAAGATGTGGTTCACCTTTGAAATGCTGTATCCTTTGGAAAAGTTTTCAAATGCCTGATTCCAAGGAGATTTGAGAGGTACAGTATCACCTGTGTATTTGAGGAAAAGGAAAAAGAAATTTGTAGATAAACAGAATTTACTATTTTTATAGAGTTATGGAGTGGCTGCCAGCAAGAGGCAGTGTTCAGATGTGGATGATATTTGTTCAATATGTCAAGCTGAATTTCAGAAGCCAATTCTTCTTATTTGTCAGGTAATTACACTTTTCAGCAATCCAAATAATATTCAGTATGACTTGAAAGGTCACTTTTCATCTTTAAGACTGGGTACCAAAGTGATTAGAAAACAGTTTACTGAATAGTTTGACAGTAGTCTTTCAGAACAATACCAACATTTGTTATTAGATTGTGTAAGGCCTTTTCTAGTTCTCTGTGGCAGTTACTAGAAAGATCAGAGACTATTACACTGTTAAAAGTCACCATACTTATAAGTATACCTACGCATAGCTTAGATGTTGTTAAAAGTGCCTAAAGGAATAGTACAGTAGGAGGACATTAGTGGCTCTCCCACTAATACTGCTCCTTTGTATTGTCAAGTGTGTCACACTCCATTTTCTTGTCTGTAAAATGAGGGAATTTGTGCCTTCCAACATCCTTTTCAGCTCTAAAGAATGTGATACTCTACAATGTGATGAATGCAAAATGTTAAGTATAAAATCTAATTCTTAATTCCCTACAGCATATATTTTGTGAAGAGTGCATCACCTTATGGTTTAATAGAGAAAAAACGTGTCCACTGTGCAGAACTGTGATTTCAGACCATATACACAAATGGAAAGATGGCGCTACTTCATCACACCTTCAAATATATTAAGTTGTATAAACTGTCAAGGCCACAAAACACTCATTTAATTCGGTTACAGTGACTATTAGGATAGATTCTTAGGGGTAGAAGAAAAATATTTTCGAGTGGTTTTATAATATCCAATTTATCAAAAATCTAAATGAAAGAACC